TGCGGATTCGAACCCGCGACCCTCAGATTGTGAGTCGAGCGCCTTATCCACCTGGCCATGCCGGGCACTGTCTTTGTGTTTAAACAGCTTGTTTACATATATTTCCCCTTTTGTTAACCTGTACATTCGAATTTTATAAGCTCGTGTTTTTCTGTTTTTGTCTAAACGGATAACTAATAAAAATCAATGAAATTGAATAGCCGTCCATGGCGCGTTAATGTACCACCATTTTAAGGTCACAGGACATCAGGCAATGTTTAAGAATACGTTTGAATTTCGTGGGCCATCTGCGCTAGCCGTCCCTAATTTAGCTGTGAAAGACTAGAGAAAAACAGCTAGTTTACTCTTGAGTTACTCTTTTACCAAGGAATAGTGGGATTTACCCTCACATTATAACACCCGTTATAGTGGGACGGGGATTCGAACCCGCGACCCTAACATTCCGAGTTAAGAGTCCCTAACCACCTGGCCATGCGGGGCAGGATGAGGTAGAACAAGATGTTTTTTCTAAGAAAAAGGTTTGAGTATGTAATTACTTCATACTTAAGATGTAGGATTACACAACTCTTTCGTGTATGGACATCCACTAAATAGAATAATGTCATTTAACTAGCATCACAGACATTTCGTACAATCTGATACATATTTATTTATATTATGAATTATACAAGTTCTCGCCATTAAAATATTTATTAAAAAAACGAAAATGTTTGACCTCCATCTTCCTTGCCATACTAATGGAGTTTACAACTCCCTAATTAATCCACCAAACGTAATTGAATATGAAGCACAGTTATGTATCTTATAGGCTTTTACGATTCAACCTTCGACATACATGAGTGTTGCTCATTGATATTAATATTAAAATAAACGGTATCTCTTTGTGTGAGGGTTTTCACTTTATGATTAGCCATATATTAATTCTTTTTTATAAACTATAGCAGGTTCGAGGAACTTTGTGGAAATATAAAAAGCAATGTATATAACTTTTAAACCAGTTTCAGTAACCATGGAAATGAGTCTTCGCGCAGTAATAGAAGGTGATATTAATAATCTTCCGAACAAAGCAAAAATACCAAAATCAAAATTTATAAAATTCAGGTTAAAAATTAATCGATATGAGCTTAAACATGATTTCTATGGAGAAAATAATTAATTAAACAATCGGCTATATTTTAATTCGTTTAAATCTGAATAATGAGTATTCTAACATCCTCAGAAAGTATTCTCACAAATATGTTTCAATTAAAACAAAAACACTAAAATGACATCCATATTTACAGCTGAGTCTTGCCTATAATAACTGCTCAAATACAAGTTACTGAAATATACCAGTCCAACAAATAATATAACAATGGATAGAGTATACACACCAATGAGTAATAAACAGTGTGCGTCTCTGTACTTCTAGCCTGTTAGTGTTAACTAAAGCCACGTTTTTTATCTTCGCCACCGAAGGTGGACGGGTGTTATGTGTGTGTGTACGTGTTTGTCAGCAAGATTTCTCGAAAACGGCTGAATGGATTCGGACGAAAGTTGGTTATATTTGTACTATTACCCAAATTAGAATGAATAGTCTTTGGAGGGTCAAGGCCACAGCAAGGTCACAAAAACCTAAAAAATCCCTATCTGTTAACATGAGAACCGATTTTTCATACTATTTTTGATCTATAACTCAGTCAAAAACGATCGGAATTTGATGAAACTTGATGGAAATATGTGGAATATTACTCCTCATTGTCCTGCCAAAAATCGTCCATATCCGACAGACATACGGATAGATTTTTGTATTTTTTGAGAGCAAAATATGATCAACGCTGTGTGACGGAAGTAGGCGCTCTACTGAGTTCCCCTCTAGTTTTGTTTGTAGTTAAGCGCAAAGCTATACATCTATCTATGCTGTGCCACATGGGTATCGAAACCCGATTTTTAGCGCTATAAGTCTGTGTGCTACGCCTACAAACAAGCTCTTACATATTATGAACTTCAATGTTGTGACAAATAAATAAATAAAGCAAATAAAATGTTTCTAAATTGATTTTATTATTAGGATTGTTTTCGTTCTCAAGCACAAAGCGGCACAGCAGGTTATCTCAACTTATCTGTGTTGTGCCAGCCTTAGGGACCGAACCCATAACCGCGGTGTTATTAGCCCTCAAGCTTACTATTAAACCACCGGGGATGAGGATGAGGTGGTATTCAGTAATACGAGTAGATATCATGTATCACCAAGAAAGATTACAAGAAACATATTAAAACGAAAACAATAAGTCACATCCATTACTATATAAGGCCGACCGCGGACCATTGGTTAGCGTTCTGGACTGTGAATCTGAGTTGTTTGTGGTCGGTGTCTTATTACTGCCTAAAACAAATCGCACTCCTCACTTTGTGGTCATGAGTACGTTATAAGAGTTACAGTCCAACCAAATAATTCGTAAGAGTTTCCAAAGAGTTGGCAGCCGATGGTATTGAATAGTTGCCTTTCCTCTAGTCAATCGGTCTAAAATTAAGGACTGCTGGCGCACATAGTTCTCAAATAACTTTGGGCGAAACCCTAAAAACAAATAAACAAAGAAAACCATCACTATATTTAATTGACACGAGTTGGTCAAATAAAAGTACATGAAATATACGCATCAAGCGAAGAATCAAGACAGGAATGAAAACCTACCGGTTTTATTACTCTCTAATGATTACAACTCAGCTTTGAATTTGTTTGTATTGTGTAGTTAATTTTAATTTTTCGTTCGATGTGAACAGCATTCGTTTCTAACTTATTTATGAAATATGGTGGAACGTGATACGGTCCAATTAATTTGGACGTTCATTTAATTAAGGCGACTGAGAAGTTACTTTCAACATTACTACCTTGTATCGGTTATGACATGCACAATCAAATATGCGTTGTCGTATTTGTATTTCCCCTAAGCCCCTGAGGAACGTGGAGTGTGCACAAGTGGAACGCCGCGGTCTTCTCTAGGAAATGGGTAACGTTCTTTCAAGGTGAATAACTTTTGGATGAGCGAAATGGTTCGTGCACTCAAGAGTCTAAAGCACCTGCATTTTAGGCATGTGACTTGTAAATAACCAAAACAAGTCCGCCATGTTCTTTATAGATGTTTTCAGATTAGCAAGGTGTGTAAACAAAGAGATGCGAAATGAATTCGCTAACGAATGTCGTAAGAATCACGGAATAATAATGTTAGTAATAGCTAAGCCTTTTACGAAATCTCAGACATAGAAATACGATTAGTAGTATTCGAACTAGACGAACTTATTAAGTAATGGGTATAATAGTTATTTGTAATCCTGCATTCATGTAGATTCTGGTATATCTTTAAATCATTCAATCTATTATTAAAACTCAGAATAAAAATACTTAAAATTTCGAAGGGTGTTAGACAGCGTTAAAGTGTTAAAGATGACTGCGGTAAATCTTCCAAATCAACATTTTATTGTTTGTGCACTCCGATCGAATGCAAGTCCAAAATGAAACCAAATTGGAAACACGTGTTTACTTCTTTGTCTTCTGGAGCTCTAAGTAAATCTCATACCAAAAAAACTTATAGAGGAGGTCATATTGGTACTTACAAGTTATTTGCACGTGGGAGTTGTCGTTTAAACTTACCACAGAAGGGGATGCCAGAGGGTGTCCAGGTCCCGTTCTCTTTACAAACCCTTCGTGGAGGCCCTATTAGCTCGAACCCTTGGTCACAATTGTATATAGCCTCTGTTCCAGGGACAACAACCTCTTTAGTAAACTTGACACTAGCATGAGTAGGTGAACCAGGGTACCCACAACTATGAACTGTGGAAATAAAACAACACAAACTACTAGGAGATATCTGTGATTGTATTTGTACTATAATTAATTGGTGATAAAAAATTTAAAGATAAAGCTACAACATATCATCTTTATTAATTAAAAAAATATTTTTTTAATCACAATAATTACTTTTTTATAAAATGTTAAATTTCAGTCATATGTGTATATGCAGGTCGCTCACCTAAAGTTTCCATGAACTGAAAATATTTATAGAAATGGGAAAAAATTAAAACTATTTGTATTATAAAATGTGAAAAAATTAGAACATTTTGATAAACCACGTGGAAACTAAGAATAACATACAACTGGAGAAGAGGATAGTTTACCTTTCAGTAGATAACAGTGAAAAAAAACAACAACCGAGAATCAAAGCCCGCCAGAATCAATTAGATGATCTGAGTTTAATTTGGTGAAGCAGATATCGTCTGCTTTACAAATTTGAATACAGTGTGTGACTTTCAGAACTGTTCGAAATTACATTCTTGAGAAAAGCCCAGGTAGAAAGTTTTGTCTAAATAATTAACCTTCATCCTAAATAATGTTATTGTTAATCTTACATCTTTCATTGAATAATCATTACGATTTCGGGAACAATGTATACTGAATGAGAACTACTTGTCGCTTATACCAGATTTATGTAGACATCAACTGGAAATATATTGCAAAATCCTTGTTGCAGCTGAAGCTAAAATATTTGTTTTTGCCTGTTCTTTTGTATTTCTAAAAACATAATTTTAACTTTTGACTGAAAGTGAAGTACGTTACTATTATAATTAGAAGTTATTAAGATATATATAACTATAATTTTATTGATTTTTAAAACATATTAAACAACCTTTATTATTCTGTTGTTGTTTTTCTCGTATGTTTTGTTTCTCCATATCTTATTATTAACGTCCTTTACATTATCCGGGTATTTGCACGGCGTGTTTTGTTGATTTTTTATTCTTAAACACTTTTCTTTACTTTAACTCTGAAGTTCTTATAACAATATACACAAAAAGTTATCTAAAGCCCTTCACGAACTTAAAATAATGAATGAACAGTGGTATCTGAAGTTCTTATAACAATATACACAAAAGTTATCTTAATCCCTTCACGAACTTGAAATAATAAATGAACAGTGGTATCTAAAGTTCTTATAACAATATATACAAAAAGTTAGCTAAAGCCTTTCACGAACTTAAAATAATAAATGAACAGTGGTGTCTAAAGTTTTTATAACAATATATACAAAAAGTTAGCTAAAGCCTTTCACGAATTTAAAATAATAAATGAACAGTGGTATTCTTAGTAGAAACAACTTAAAGGGATTCATTGTAATAAAGAATAATATAAGATTGTAATTGGAAACTATCAGATGTTGTTTTGATCTTTTTTAAATAAATTATTTTAGTGCATTGAAATTCTTATCGGAAATGTTTTATACAGTTAATCTCAGTCACATGGTTTCAGGTAAATTAAATGTTTTATAAAATAAAACATTTAATTTACCTGAAACCATGTGACTGAGATTAACTGTATAAAACATTTAATTTATCTGAAACCATGTGACTGAGATTAACTGTATAAAACATTTAATTTACCTGAAACCATGTGACTGAGATTAACACAGTTAATCTCAGTCACATGGTTTCAGGTAAATTAAATGTTTTATACAGTTAATCTCAGTCACAAGATTTCAGATAAATTAAATGTTTTATACAGTTAATCTCAGTAACAAGGATTCAGATAAATTAAATGTTTTGTACCAGTTAATCTCAGTCACATGGTTTCAGGTAAATTAAATGTTTTATACCGTTAATCTCAGTCACATGGTTTCAGGTAAATTAAATGTTTTATACAGTTAATCTCAGTCACATGGTTTCAGGTAAATTAAATGTTTTATACCGTTAATCTCAGTCACATGGTTTCAGGTAAATTAAATGTTTTATACCGTTAATCTCAGTCACATGGTTTCAGGTAAATTAAATGTTTTATACAGTTAATCTCAGTCACATGGTTTCAGGTAAATTAAGTAAAAAACTGTTTAATGTGAATTCTAACTCTAACTTTATATTACTGTTTTGTTTTGCGCATGATAGTATGAGACTTTGTTTTCAACGACGAATTTTTGCATCATTAACTATCAAACGGTAAATAATTCGCAAAAATAATTTACTTTTGTTGGTTAATCTCTTGAAAACGTTATGGTCTCACTCTCGATTCAATTTTCAAGGATGTTTAGATCTATGAAATCTATAAATAAACGGTAGTTTTTGAAATTTTACAAGATAAAGTAAAGGAAACATTTTATTTTTATGTTGTTAATATAGCACGACTTCTTACAAAATAAATTGCTCATATTAAATAAAAATGTATAAAAAAACGTACCTAATATAAATGAATCATAAAACACAAAAACTGCCACGAGCCACAAAACAGATGATAATTTCCTCTTTAACACATGTGCCATCATACAAGGATATCAACATTAGACCACAGCCTGAAGATGGATTTTCAAAAGCGTTGTCTCTTCTAAACTGATGAGTTCCCGCCCCCACTTCCGCTTTACAGAGAATCGTAACCTAACATTCGACACAACTTCTTAAAACTGGTATACGACGAACGTAGGTAAACAATTATATTCGGTGTCATTCCTGACGTCACAGTTCATAAAATAACCAATTACAGGCTTCAGAAGTTTTTAAAAAACAATTGGGCTATTAATATCACGCGTGTCGACTGTAATAATCTGTAATTGCTTCCATGTCAGAAAACACATATTTGCACTATTGTGAATTAGCAGAAACAGTTATACAAATGTGCTAGTTAGTTTAGCTAAAGTTTTCTGAAATAGTCCTGATGCAGTATTTGAATTTAATAAATCAAAAGAAGTTTATAGACAAGCTTGAACAGTGGAAAATTCGTTTACATTTGCAAAACTCTTTAGTAGATAATACACAGTGTCAAAATATATGGAAGTCATAATTTTAGTGTATTTTGTTAAAATAAATGTTTCATTTTCTTCAGTACATACCATCTAAGTCACAATTGATATACTGTAAATTAACATTAAAAATAAAATAGAAAACTAACAGAAAAAATTACAAGAGTCAGCTAATATACAATATATTTTTTTTTCTTATTTTTTTAGACGCGTTAAATCATTTTGCACAACTTTTAACGATCGTTTATTCTGGTCACTATTGTTGTTGTTGTTTTTTTTCTTTAATGTGAGAGTTATTTAAATTATCGTTAATATGAAATAACTTTTTAATAACAGTTTGTTAGAATTATTTCAAAACTTTGTTAACCCAATATATAGTTGTAAAGGGCTGTATCTGTAAGTCGGATTCTTGTTATTTTTTTCTTTGTGTGTGTGTTCCAACAGGAGGTGATCTCGATGATCCGAATAGCATTTCGTCATGCTCTGTTTTGTTGGGTTCGACTCCTCGACCCACTAAACATGCTTGCCCTTTCAGTAGTGGGGTCGTTATAACGTGACGGTCAATTCCACTAATCGTTGGTAAAAGAGTAGCCCAAATGTTAGCGGTGGGTGGTGATGACTAGCTGCCTTCCCTCCAGTCTTTCACTGATAAATTAAGGATGGCTAGCGCAGATAGCCCTCATGTAGCTTTGCGCGAAATTCACAACAAACAAACCGTTTTGTTATAATCTTTGTGATTCGCCAGTTTTATTTCACCTGAGATCCTCCAACTCAAATTATTTCCTATAAGCAAGTTAATTGGACATTGTGTGTTTCATTTTATGCATAATACTATTTGGAATGATGGGCCAAAGATAACGTCTCAAAAACTAACCAAATTATTCATTCAAAAAAGGAAAGTTCATGATTATATTAATCATACTTATATTTCAAATAAATATATTTCATTGCTATGGCTTTTTATTTAACTCTGAATGAAAATAAAATCCAAAAAGCTGTAATAATTGTTTTAAGACTTATAATTTTTCTATATCATAAATACTTCAACCTATCAGACATTTTCTATCGCCTTATAACATCCCAACTCAATACCTGATTTATTTGTTCATAAAAAAAAATAATTTGAAGAACGACAAAGCATGTCTTTGCTTTCTCATATCCAAGTTATCAGTGTAACATTTAAACTATTTTGACACAAAATTGTTATTCAATACTGATTAAAGAAACACGACAGTTGTTTTAACATAAGAATTAAGATCATGCTTTGCTTATATCATCCATTTTATCTTCTTAAACGAAGAAACTCATGACTTATTCTATCAAAGAAATAACCTGATTTGTTTCTAAATATAAAAAAATATAGAAATTGTGATAAACAACATGTTCCAGTCTTCAGTATTTCCAGTGTATTTGTTGATACAGTGGAGATTTTTTAAATTTCAAAGGAAAATTGTAAACTTTAACATGTAATCCTGCAGCAAAGCATTTAATTATTTCTTATACGTATGATAGGCCAAAACTATTCTTTTTTAAATTAATTAATTGCTGAACTAATCAAAGTATGTCAAGACTGCTTCATCTAGTGTCGAGCGACCGGGATTCAGTTAATTAACATAGTAGTGTATTCAGTATGTTGGTGTATAACGGATGAATTTTCGTGTGCAATATTTCAAAATATTTCATTTTCCGATTTACCAAACTCTTACTGTTAGCGCTCACTGGTAAATAAATGTGCGTAGAGCTTTTGTTTTAGGTTTATGCTGGAGAATTTCGTTAATTTGCGCTGTTTCTTTCAGGATATCGCTTGTTCGGAGGAAAATCCATTATATATACAAGTATACATATTTTGTTTATTGTTTTTTTTTTGTTTTTTTTTGCATTACACCAATATATAAAAACGCTTCAGAGAAACTTTCTTCTGAACTAGTCACAACATGACAAGGCTGACCTAGTACTCGGTCATACGCTTGTTTCCGTGCTAATGAATACAAAGGTCAACGGCAAAAAACATCCACGTGTCTCAGGCAACATAATCAAGAAGAATGTTCGTCTGAAAATACGACACAAGTTACATGTACACAAATTGTCTCCACATCAAGCAGCTGGAGAATGAAACGGATATTTATGCTATTCCATATGAAGACACGCTATTCAAGTCGCCGGACGCAGCAGCGCCTATGGATTTTTATTCAATCGTAATGTTGAAACAAGAGCTGGAAAACCATCGTTTTCGTACACTAGATGTGATTATGTAAAGTTTACAGGGAAGGTTTTAGTTTTGGCTGTTATATTCAAAATAAGTTATGTTTTATTTTTGAGCTTTATATTTAAAAATGTAGCAAAAATTGAAATAAATAATGCTGCCACAAATTGCGTATTGACGTATACTGATTAGTTTAATTCTTGCGAACAAAGAATGGAAGATGTCATCTAACAGTATATAACGGAACTTATATATAGCAATATAAAATATTTAAGTGTTGTGAGAATGAAAGAGCGTGAAATACAATGTAACTATATTGTCTATGGAAGTATTTAGTGAACTTATATTTAGATCCATGAAATTATATATATTAAATGAAACTAATGTTTGTTTTTTGTTGATTGTTTTATATTTTTTCTCGAAAATACTTTATGAGATCATGTCGCAGACGATCCATGCTATAAAAATATTAACCTTTTGTATTAACCTTTTTTTTCCCTACAACAATTTCACTGTTAGGAATCACAATTTTAAACCTCTCCCAGATTTTAAATGTATTCATTTTCCTTCATTTTTTTATCTTTAACTAGAAACAATGAATGAAAACGATTAAAGTTTGAGTATGTAGATAAAGTAATGACGACTTGAGAAAATGAAAAGTAAATAGCTTTGGAAAAGTGTTTTCAATCTTTTAAACTCGTCTTGAAAAAAATCTCTCCAATCTTATAAGTATAGTGTTATAACATGGCTCCGAGCTCATAAGTATAGCTCGAGGGAAATATCTCCAAATTTTAAAGATACTTGGGAAAATGTCTCCAGAAATATAAGCATAGGTGGACTAAAGCGGCTCCAATATCATGAGAATAATTGGCCAACAAATTATTAGTATTGTCTTGTGTTTTTCGGTGTGACAAAAACATTGATTGCAGAGCTATATGTTTCAATCTCAAAATTAAGATTACGTAAGATAACTTGTGCATGATTAGAAAGTGGTTGTGGGAAAAATTACAGTAGGCAAATTATTTCAGAGATAAAAATCTCTAAAGTACAAGAAAAACGGTTTGGTTTACCTTTTTTAACGTGAAGGATGTTTTGCCGATCTTTGAGTTTTGCTATATAAACACGTGGAAATAAAAGATTGTAATATGTCTGAGTTATGTTCATCATCACATATATTAAAAATTTGTCTAAAATCTTTAGTCTTTCCAAAAATAATTCATCAACAGCCTCCTGATTATTAAAAACAATTATATAGTTTAAAACGTTTTTACTTATGTGGAATTTATTATGTATTTACATTTTTACTTTTGGGATTATTACATCACATGGAACTAAGCATAACAGCTTAACAAACATATAGCTTATTTATCACACATAATCATAAGTTTAAATTGAAGAAACCTAGACAAAAGGTCAAATGCAATGTTTTCTTTTGAACATAACAGTCTAACTATTAACAACATCAGAAATAGAAATATGGTAGCTAAATATGGCGCTAAAATTCAGGTTTCGATACTCGTAGTGGGCAGAGCCTAGATAGCCCATTGTGTATCTTTGTGCTGAACAACAATCAAATCGAATCAATAATGGTAACTACATATATTTTAGCCTTCCAATCAGAGCAAGCTACCTACTTAGAGTAAAACTAAAAATCGACCTGGCAGAGGGTATAGCTAATTAAATATATTTTCTTACGTTCTTACTTATAAATATTAGAATGCATTATTTCATATATTAACGATATTTTCGGCCGTAAACCCAATAATATCTCATGAAGTTCAGCCAAATTACAATATTTAGGCTAGTCCTAAATACATATACTAAGCTAACAAAGCTGTGGGTCTGGTGGTTAGGGTACTCGACTCGCAATCTGCAGGTTGTGGGTTAAGATCCCGGTCATCAAACATGCTCGCCCATTCTGCCGCGGGGGCGTTGTAATGTTAAAGACTATTCGTTGGTAAAAGAGTTGTCCAAGAGTTAACGGTGGGTGATGTTGACTAGCTGCCTTCCCTCTAGCCTATCACTGCTAAAGTGGGGACGTTTGGCAGAGATAACGCTTGATTAGCTTTGCGCGAAGTTCAAAACAAGCAAACGCACAAACAAAGCAACTTTCGGTTATAAAAGTAAATATCTTAAACATTTTAACCAATACGGTTAATGAAAGTTACATAAATAAAAAGTACAAACTGTTAGCTTCAGGCACTGTCTGAAGTTTAAAGTTCGTTGAACAATATAACATCAGTATCACAGTATATCCCTATAGCGCAGTGGATAGCGCATTGGATTTCTAATCCAAAGTTACCAGGTTCGTTACCCGGCAGGG